TTTGGGGGGAGATAGCCAGGAAAAAATGTACTTTGTGTGTGTGTGCTGTTACCTTCAAGTGCTGTTACCATCAAGTACCTTGATGGGCTCTCCAGCCCTCAGTGTGAGGGCCACCGCCTCATCCTGGTTCTAAAACTGGGGGTCCGAATCCCAGGGGTACCCTCATTTCCAGCCAAACCCAGACGGTTGGCCATCCTTTCTCAGTTTATTCTCTGCATCCCTGAAAAGGCCTCTCTAGGTTTTTATTGAACATTTCGGAGGTATCACCATGTGCTAGCTTCTGTCAGAATGTACCAGGGATTAGGCTCTGTTTTTTTAAAGAAATGATTGTCATATGGCAATGCCATCGTACTTGTCTCATAGAAATAAAACATGAATTTTAAACTGATTTATTTAAAAGTTTAGGTCTTCCAATATTCCCCAACCTGACCAAAAAAAGGTAATGCCTAAGTATAGGCCAATTATAATTTCTTAATATGAAAATATTAGCTTTAATAAATAATGTTGTTAGATACTATTTCTGATACTAAGACTCTGTTATCTTACAGTACTTTACTCTAGTTCTTACCATCCTGTCACCTCATTAACATCGTGTCCTGTGAAGAAGCTGGAAATGTATCATTTCCATTTTATAAATTAAGAGCAAAAACAATTTAAGACCAAGGACTTTCATTGTTTTTTGTTTGTGTGTGTTAAGACCTTAGGTGACAAATGCGAGACAATTAGATAGATCCTCGTAGCAAATGATTAGCTGAATGAGGCATATGGCAGAAAGCTTCACAGAGGTTGGTTCTGGCTTAAGAGAAACCACCCAAGGTTTTGAAATAGTAGTGGGCTTTGCTTTTACATTGAGGTCTTCTGAAAAACCTCTGTCCAAGTGTTGGATTATGTCTCTCTTAAAAACAGTTAACATCGCCCTGGCTGGTATAGCTCAGTGGACTGAGCGCAGGCCTGCAAACCAAAGGATCGTGGTTCAATTCCCAGTCAGGGCACATGCCTGGGTTGCAGGCCAGTTCCCAGTGGGGGACGCACAAGAGGCAACCATACATTGATATTTCTCTCCCTCTTTCCTTCCCTTCCCCTCTAAAAATAAATGAATTAATCTTTTTAAAAAACAAACAAAAAAAACACAGCATTATGTATATTAAAATACCTAGATTATTTGATCACAAAATGATCGTTTCAGCCCATTCAAGTATGACTTTTGCTCTTATTAAATGTTAAGCTACAGCCCTGGCTGGCATGGCTTAGTGGATTGAGTGCTGGACTGGGAACCAGAGGGTCGCTGGCTCGATTCCTGGTCAGGGCACCTGCCTGAGTTGCAGGGCAGGTCCGGGCGGGGAGAGTGAGAGGCAACCGAGTGACGTGTCTTTCATGCACTGATATTTCTGTCCCCCTCCTTCTCCCCCACTTCCTGTCTCAGTAACATAAATAAATAAATAATCTTTAAAAAAATGTTAAACTACAGAATCATTGAAGCAGAGAAGCCAAGGGCCATGATCTGTGCATCACTGGTCACCAGGTGTCGGAATTGACTCTGTCCAGGACGAGCTTCCTAACTTTAGGCACATAACTTGGTCTTAATTTGCTTTTGTTCCTGACTTATAAAATAGAAATGGTACATTTCCAGCTTCCTCCCAGGACTGACATGATGGTAATGAGGTGACAGATTGGAAAGAACTTAAAAGTACTACAAGATAATAGAGTTTAGTGTCAGAAATAGTATCTAATGACATAATTTATTTACTAAGCTAATATTTTCATATGAAGGAATTAAAAGTGGCCTATATTTAGGCATTACCTTTTTTGGTCAGATTGGTGAATATTGGAAGATCTTAAGTTCATTATCCTAACAACTGTATTGCTATTAAATTGTAGCAGATAGATGTGTTTGTTTTGCTTCTTGGGTACTTTGCATTTTCATTTCAATCTACATATTAAGATTTTATGCTAATTTGAGCCAGAACAAATTTGTTATTATAAGATCATTTCGCCCTAGCCAGTGTGAGTCAGCAGATTGAGCGCTGGTGGGCCAGGTTCCCCTGTTGGGGGCCTGTGAGAGGCAGCCAATCAGTGTATTTCTCACATGTTGATTCTCTCCCTCTTTTTCTCCCTCCCTTCCCTTCTCTCTAAAAAAAGTAAGTAAATAAAATCTTTGATATGTGTACACATTCGTTTTATATATATATATATAAATATATATATAAAACAGAAAGCAGCTTATATATATATATATATATATATATATATTATATATATATAAACTGCTTTCAATTCATTGTCTTCATAAACCCATGGTACTGCCAATAAGCTCAGATGATCTAGGGAGGAAAGAAAGTGTAGTGTTTCGTGTGAGTGTGTGTTTGAATTATGACTCCACCACCTGCTGGGTGTTTAATCTGTTGGACTGTTTATTCATTTGTAGAATGGGCATCATGGTATCTGCTGAAGATTGAACAAGATGATCTATTTACAATGTGCCCACCTCCGTGACTAGTATGTAGTATGTGATTCACTGCCCTCCCACTCCCAACACACATACTGGTGTAACTGAAGTCTAATACTTGTTTTCCTTTGTCCCCTGGGGACCTCTTGAGGGAAAATGAGAAAAAAAAACACTACACTGTTTTGCTTTTTTTGAAACCCTATCTATATATATATGTGGGATACTGTTTCTAGATTATGAGTTCTTAAAATTCTGTTGACGTCTTAGAATATTGTCCAAGAAAAGTGGTAAAGGAACAGGAACATGGAGGCGTGGACTACAGCGAATGCATTAGTTATGGAAGTTTTCCGCTCACTGTGGGGTGCAGGCCACCTCTCTCAGTCCACGCTGCCCGGATTTTCGGGTTTGTTCCCATAGAGTCCACTGAGGAGCGTGAACAGGTCTGTTGCATAATGGTCATAAACCAGAATTCAACTTGGAATTCTTTAGTCGGTCCTGCTTGAAATGTACAGTCTGCTTTCATAGGAGGGAAAAGAGTCGCCCTAGGTAGTTAAAGGCTCTTTTGAAAATAGTTGTTGCTCAAAAGGGAAGGGTGGTGGGGATAGAAGAAAGGGGTTCCTAATAATTTATTGATTTCTTTTTTTTTTTTTTTCTTTTTTGACATAGAAAGCAGAAGGAAATTAGAAGCTACTGTGTATGAGGGAGTGTTTGGCTTGATACCAGTGTGTTTACATTTAATCCCCACAATAAAACTGTGAGGTAGGTGGGTGGGTGATACTATCCTGAATTTACAGAGCAGGAAATTGGGACTGAGAGAAGTGGAGTCAATTTCATGGGGTCACATGGTAACAAGTGGCAGAGCTGGGATTTAATATTAACTATATTTGTTGTCTGTGTGTGTGTGTGTGTGTGTGTGTGTGTGTGTGTGTGTGAGAGGAGGAGGGTTTCTGTCGTTTTCATGTATCTTACATTGAAATGTAAACCCCCTACATTTTAAGTAGGACCAGCTGCTGTTTTTAAGATAACTGAGGTCGGAACCCGTAGTAATTTCATCCAAAGTTTATGCTGGGCCTTGGGGAATACAAAGGTGAATGAAACATCATCCATTTTGTTGATTTTGCAGACTGATGGAAGTGGTTGGCATTTAGCTCACATAGTTGTATTCTGTTAGAAGGTAGGTGGGGTTCCAGATGAGAGAATGACTTACGCAGTGCCAGGGTTTTCCAGAGGAGCTGGCCTTGGACTGAATCTGACTGGGAAGGAAAGTAAGACCACCTGGTGGGGGAAAACAAGCCTTGGGGGGTGGCCGATGGCTAGCCTTGCAGGGAGGCGTGGGCAGGGAGTGAGGGTGTGGTGCTCTGGAAATAAAACCAGCTTTCAATTTAGGGCTTTGCTCTGTAGGGAGTCAATGGCTATTTTAAAGCAGAAAAGAATGGAAGGATATAATAGTAATAACAATAGTAATAGTTTAAAGGAGCATTCTGAAGGAGATGCAGAGCAAGGTTGGTGTTGCAAACAATTCGGGTTTTTTCCTTCTTAAAATCACCAGATAATGGAGGGCTGCCTATTGACATGTAGTTGCTGAGTCTAAGAGACATTATTAGTTAACATAATTGTTCCATATTTAAGAAATATCTTTTAGTTTAAGGCTATCTCCGGGTAAAAGCCACTTGTTTGCCCTGACTGGTGTGGCTCGGTTGGTCATCGTCCCTCAGAGTGAGGAGAGGTCTTGGTGCACTGCTGGTCTGGGCACAAGGCTGGGCTGCAGACCAGGTCTCCTGGGGTGGGACGCAACCATGTTTCTCTCTCACACTGATGTTTCTCTTCCTTCCTCTATCTAAAAATAAATAACATCTTTTTTTTTTTTTAAAGCCACTTATTCACCTTTCACAAAACTTGTTCTAAAGACACATCTAGACATTCAGCTTGATTATTTTAGGTAGTTTGATGTAGTGAAAAAGTAGTGTTGATGGGTAGGAATACTATTCAAATGATCCTGAAGTAAAGGCTATTTTTGAGCAATTCTTATTTACTTTTTATTATGTAGCAATGTATGTTTATTACAGAAATTTTAAAAAGCAAAATAATGCAGAGAAAACAAAGACTATCTCTAATGAATAAGCAAAGGTAAACTTTTAGGGGATGTGTAACATTACAGTTAGTAAACAAGGTTTTAATATTCAGATTCCAGAGTTCTGATCAACCAATGGCTATATTTAATACTTCTTTAAATGAAGAAAAATGTTTTTTTGTCTTCACATATTTTATTGACTGAATTACTACAGCACCATTGAGAGTTTGGTTGATTTATTATTACAAAACATTCTGATTTTCATTTAATACCTAAGGTAGCTGCTTTAACTGATTAAAATTATAACCTATTAAATACTAACAAGTGGCATAATTTAAGTTGCTGTTATTCTTCTCTTACTACCAATTAGACACTCAACAGAATGCTAAAGGAAAAAGGAACCTTAAAAACTGTCCATATTTGGCTTGCCTTCTTATTTTACATGTGAGGAGACTTTTCTTCTGAGCTTTTGTTTCCAGTGACTTATTCCTACATAGGTTTTCTTTTGTTTCCGGTGGCTTGCTAGTTTGGCTTTTCTCCGGCCAGGCTTGCACTTGATTGCAGTCCTCTCCTTCTGCCTAGGCTCTGCCTTTCCATCTCTCAGCCAGGGGTACAAAGAAAAGGGAGACCGAGGAGAGGAAGTAGCACGTGCCAGAGAAATAGAAAGAGCTGGCGTAGGTCTGTGTGTAATCAGACAACCAGCCTGGAAGGAAGAAATGGTTTCCGTCAGCCAGGCAAACCTCATTGGTCCCTCTCAGCCATGAGCTGTCCTTGAAGAAATGAGTCTGCTGTGCTTACCAGGCTGCATCATGGCCCGTTAGAAAATTAATCTAGCTCCTTGCCTGTCTTATTTTCTGCAGATGGAGGTAGGGACTCAACGTGTGGAGAAAAAGTCATTGTGGACCCAGACAATTAGGGACACATACCATTTCATTGTATGATGACTCTTATCAGAAGGCCACTATTCTTACAAAGAAAGTAACTGTGAGTTCCTAACGTTTTCCAAAGGAAAAAAGAGAACTGATTGTCTTCTTCCTTCACTGAAGAAATGCTTGAGTATTTACTGTGTTCCCTAGGGGTTGAGAATACAGTAATGAGCCAGAGCAGGCGTGGCACCTGCCCTCACAGACTGTCTACTTTAGTGGGATTAGTTATTAGTCACAGATGGTACACCCTGAAAGGGCAGGAAGGGAAGTTCAGGACACCGAGAGAGCAGGTGAAAAGGAACTGACTGCTTGGTTGGGTTCCATGAAGACTAATTCGCCCTGAAATGCTCTTTCAAAGCAAGAATGGGGAAGGGTCCTCGAGATCATTTGGCTAATGGCACGTACTAGAACTGAAGTGGAACACTTTTTTTTTTTAAACTGTGTAGTAGCAAAGAATGTTTGTGCAAGGTACCAGTATTTAAACACTTGCAAAAGTCAACACTGTGAAAGAGGCAAATAACATCTCATTATTATTATGAAAATATTTTTGACCTTATAGATTCCCTAAAAACATCTCAGGACTTCTGGGGGGGCATTGCTACTGACCAAACCTGGCAGCTCCTTTTCTAGAGATTGTGTGCCTATTATGTTTGTAGAGGCAAACTTACATTATGGCTTTTGTATTTAAACTCCAAAAAGTCCTTAGAAAGTTAAAGCTGTTATTCTGATCATTGACTGAAAAAATGGTGGTGCTGTGTGCTAGCCCAGTTCTGGGTGCTGTGGGCAGGTGCACCCGTGAACAAAATAGGCGGAGATGTCTGGTCTTGTGGAGCTGGCGCTGTGTCTTTTGATTTTCATTTATATCTGGGAACACGATTTCTCGTGGGATGGGTAGACTGTGTACCCTTTCTCTGGTTTGATTATATATGTCTATCTCCTGTCCTCTTTGTTCCCTTATTTGGCTCTGATGCAGACTTGAAAATGTTTTTTCAATTGTTTCATTAGCTTAATGTTTCCTGTTCTTAATGTAATGAATGAATGTTTTAGAGCCTCTTAAATTAGCTAACTTTTACTTGCTTTTTACTTACTCCATGTTTGATCAATGACCTCAGACGTTTCTTGGGGTTAAGCAGAAGAGTAGAGTGAAACTGACTAGGACAGGTCCTTGTAGTATGTTGTGATTGACCTTTATGCACTTGAGAAATAGGTGACCAATCTCCCAACTCCCTTAGAAATTTCTAGAAAGAAGGGAATGTGGAAAACATCAGCACCCCTTTTATCCCTTGTCATTCTTGCCTTAGTCCCACTAATACAGCAAATTTACCAGTACATACATAACCTGTGAGTTACGAGACAGCAGTATTGGAAAGAATAATTGTGGGAAAAGACTAGAAATTCTTGGATATAGAGGTAAATACTGCCGCTAAAAGGTCAGGAGAGCACAACTAAAAATAGTGCAAACTCATGGTTGTTGCTATTAAGAAATCGCAGAGGGCCTGAAACAGTGTAAGAGAACGCTGCTTATAAGCCTTCCATTTCACCTATATACATATATACACTTAAAGAATGTTGCTATAGCGACATTAAAGATTAAAATATTTAGCATATTTTAGAATTGTGTCCATGCAGTTCCATGCAAAATGTAATGAAATAATTTATTTTAAATGTTTCTTGTACTTGATCATTGCGATGCTAGTATGTATTTTCATCCTATCTCTCTAAGACCCAGTTGCCATTCAGTAGGATTGTAATGTACAGTTAGTTGAGTATTTAGTTTTAGGAGTCTGCAATACAAAATATGAGGTAAAAGGTAGGATGCACATTTATATTATTAATTAATTGTCTCATAAGAGTATTAGCTGTCATAATCAGGCTTAGACTTAACTGGCCCCTAGGTAAGTGAAATTCAGAACTTTGTTAATATTAAAATATCTACTCTGTTTTGTTGGAATAATTAGCCTGTCCCCACACAGAAAAGCAAAAGAACACTGTGTATTTGGCCTGATTTTATCAGAGCTCTGTACTTTTTTGGTAACAGTAGAAAAAAGCTATATACAAATGCACTTTCAACCCTAAACAGTTTAATGCTTCCAAGTACATATTTTTTAAAGAAATGTTGGTGGTAATTCAGAAGCTACTGTGTGCTGTTTTAAGATGAAACACACACATACGTTGACGTTCAAGAGACTGGGTTCCTTTGTGGTCAAAGCCTTGCACGTGGCAGAGAAAGTCATGACGAGGTAGCAGCTACAATTCAGGGAAGCGTGTGTGCACCTGAGTGTCCACTCCCTGCTAGTGTGTCTGTGTGCAGCCCACACTGAGGGGAACACTGGCAACTGGCTTGCTGAGCTGCAGTCTCCCGGGAGCATTTCCTCAGTGTCCCCACGCTACCTGCAGCGGATTCACCTGAGGTACGTGCAGATTCATTCGTTCCCCTCAAGCCTCCTACATCCTGCATGGCGCCCAGTTGATTATGTACAAAAGTTTGTTCTCCAGATTACTTCCTTATGTCTGTAGCTATAACCCATGTTCTGGGCAGAATGTCTAATAATGTTTCCTGTGATAATTTAAAACAAGTAAGATAAGGCTCCACTTCAGTAGTTTTGCAAACCTACTTTCTTATAGTCAACACAGAAGGGATTAGAAAAATCTGTTCTTTGATATGTATATAGGATTCTAAATTCATTTTATAAAATGTCAACATTATAAAACTATTTAGCCCTGGCTGGTGTGGCTCAGTGGATTGAGCCAGCACTCAACCAAAGGGTCGTCGGTTCAGTTCCCAGTCAGGCCACATGCCTGGGTTGTGGGCCAGGTTCCTGGTGGGGGCTGCACAAGAGGCAACCGCACATTGATTTCTCTCCCTCTCTTCCCCTAAAATAAATGAAATCTTTCATAATAAATAAACAATTTAACATCATACTACAGGTTAAGCCATACATGTTTAAAAATGAGTTTTAAATCCTGTCTAAATATTCATACCTGTGGTATCTCAGGACTTGAACTCAGTTATGAACCCTTTTTATTAGAATTACCACTTTTAAGTTACTGTTGGTCATCTCGTGAACACTTGACATACACCCCAAAACTCTTAATTCCAAAGTTCCTTGATGCTAGTTCCAATTAGTGTCAAGAATTCTGTACGTGGTTAGCCAGTGTTGAACCAGCCACCTGCCGGTGGGACTGTTGGGCTGCAGCCCAGGGGCAGACTTCCAAGGTGTACAAGACAGTGATCTTATCTCATCCCTGGGGTTACCGGAGCTGCTGGCTGGCTGGCTGCTAGCAGCCTCATTGTTTCACTTTGGGTGTGCTATACAGATATTTCCTATATGCACCATGATGGGAAAGTACGTACAGGTATTTTCAGTAATCTTGGGAAATGTGGTTTAGCAAATACAAACCCTGGTGCTTTTAAGACTGGAACTCTCCAAAGGCCCCGTGATAGAAACTTGCAGTAAGGTAGGTACTGGCTCGTTACTGGCTCCGAGCTGTGGATTTTATTAAAAGAACTGTGGTCCGTGTTAGGATTTTGAAGCTTGTTTCTTTGGCCTTGCAAAGGAATATATTTGCAAGAGAAGGAATAACCCCCTTCTTTTTTTCAAAACCACACTAAGGAGCTATTTGAAATTTATTTTGTGATTTTTTTTTTGTAGGGATTCATCAGTCCTAGAAAAACTGGATCAAAATAAAATTTTAATGGGGCATTATTGTTTATGGGAGAAATCACTGGGTGATTAAAAATCATTAACATGATTTTTCTTTGCCTGTTCAGAGTGTTAATGTATCCCTCAGGATTTAGGACACAGGGACTTCTGCTCTGCTTTCTCACTTACTCCTAACCTCCAGAGGGACTTAGAGCAGACCAAAAGGTCAAGTTGTTTTGTTCGTTTGTCTTCTGAACACAATTTCAGGCTGTAGAGAAATTCCCAACTGGTAGGCGAAGATGAGTGATAGATGTGGAGGGCATGGTTGGGCACATGGGAGTGAGGGCTGGGTGGAGACTTTCATATTGTACCTGAACTGAGGGTGGAAGAGAGATGGGAACAGACCCGTCGTCTCTGAGGAAACCCTCTCTGCGTTGGTGGCACAGAGGCAAGCTTAGTGGGATGCGTTTCCATCTAGCCACCGTCCTTGCTTATAAAACACAGGTGATGCCTTGGTACAAAATTACCAGTTTCACTCCGAGGTGTTTTTGATGAGGTGCGAGGCTGGTGAACAATAGCAAGAGAACGATGTGCTTCTTCTCCTTTAGAGACAAGTTGACTTGAACTTAGCCTGGTGTGCAGCTGACATAATTATTTTGCCTTGAAAGTGGCTTTGCTGATTTCCCGCCAAGATGGAGGCGTGGGTGGAAACACTGTGCATCCTTGCACAACCAAGTTTAAAGACAACAAAGTTTTAGTAACAAAAACGCAACCAAAACACAGAAAATTGAACTGTATGGAAGTCCAACAACAATGAGCCATTCAGCCAGACCGGTAAGAGGGGCAGAGTCAGTGGCTGGCGGAGCGGGGTCGGGCAGGAAACAGTGGCCAGACTGACCCAGGATTGCAAGTGGCGGTTGGCAGATCCCAGGTGTGGGGCGGCAATGGGCAGACTCAGTGAGGGCGCAAGTCGGCTGGCTGACTGCGATCACACATTCACGCACAGGTGAAGGAGCGAACAGTGAGACAGACCATGCAGGCTAGGGCCCCAGCGACGGGAATTAAAGCCTAAAAGCACCAATTGGAAAAACTTTCGGGATTGAGGTGCTGGGAGAAGTGCCCAGGCTCAAAGA